TGTTTTGAAGTGTTCTTGAAGATACACAGTGAGGTTCGTAATGAATCATCCTTACGTACCAAAGTTTGTTTTGGAGTTCCGCAAGGTTCTGTTCTCGGACCAATCCTATTTACTCTATATATGCTTCCTTTAGGTAACATCATTAGAAATCACTCTATAAATTTCCATTGTTATGCAGATGATACACAGTTGTATTTATCGATGAAGCCAGAAGAAAGTAATCAATTAACTAAACTCCATAACTGCCTTAAAGACATAAAAAATTGGATGAGCACCAATTTCCTGATGTTAAATTCAGACAAAACTGAAGTTATTGTTCTTGGCCCCAAACAACTCAGAGACTCTTTATCTGATGACATAGTTTCTCCAGATGGCATTGCTCTGGCCTCTAGCACTACCGTAAGAAACCTCGGAGTAATATTTGATCAAGATTTGTCTTTTAATTCTCATTTAAAGCAAACCTCACGGACTGCATTTTTTCATCTGCGTAATATTGCGAAAATTAGGCCTATCCTGACCCGAAAAGATGCAGAAAAATTGGTCCACGCTTTTGTTACCTCAAGGCTGGATTACTGTAACTCTCTATTATCAGGTAGCTCTAGTAAGTCCTTAAAAACTCTCCAGCTAATTCAGAATGCAGCAGCACGTGTACTAACAGGAACTAAGAAACAAGATCATATTTCTCCTGTTTTAGCTTCTCTGCACTGGCTCCCTGTAAAATCCAGAATTGAATTTAAAATCCTACTGTTAACTTATAAAGCTCTAAATGGTCAAGCTCCGTCATATCTTAGAGAGCTCATAGTGCCATATTATCCCACCAGAACACTGCGCTCTGAGAACGCAGGGTTACTCGTGGTCCCTAAAGTCTCCAAAAGCAGATCAGGAGCCAGAGCCTTCAGCTATCAGGCTCCTCTCCTGTGGAATCATCTTCCTGTTACGGTCCGGGAGGCAGACACCGTCTCCACATTTAAGACTAGACTTAAGACTTTCCTCTTTGATAAAGCTTATAGTTAGGGCTGGCTCAGGCTTGCCCTGTACCAGCCCCTAGTTAGGCTGACTTAGGCCTAGTCTGCCGGAGGACCCCCCTATAATACACCGGGCTCCCTCTCTCTCCCTCTCTCTCTCTCTCTCTCTCTCTCTCTCACTCTCATCCTATTACTGCATCTTGCTAACTCGGCCATTCTGGATGTCACTAACTCGGCTTCTTCTCCGGAGCCTTTGTGCTCCACTGTCTCTCAGATTAACTCATATCACAGCGGTGCCTGGACAGTGTGACGTGTGTGGTTGTGCTGCTGCCGTGGTCCTGCCAGATGCCTCCTGCTGCTGCTGCCATCATTAGTCATTAGTCATACTTCTACTGTTATTATACACATATGACTATTGTCACACAAGTATACTGTCAGATATTAATACATACTTTCAACATATTGTACCACAGTAGCCAGAACTATAACTATAATATTATTACTTTCATTAATGTTGTTGTAAGCTACTGTCATTACCTGCATCTCTCTCTCTCTCTCTCTCTCTCTCTCTCTGTCTCATTGTGTCATATGGATTACTGTTAATTTATTATGCTGATCTGTTCTGTACGACATCTATTGCACGTCTGTCCGTCCTGGAAGAGGGATCCCTCCTCAGTTGCTCTTCCTGAGGTTTCTACCGTTTTTTTTTTTCCCCATTAAAGGGGTTTTTTTTGGGGAGTTTTTCCTTATCCGCTGTGAGGGTCTTAAGGACAGAGGGATGTCGTATGCTGTAAAGCCCTGTGAGGCAAATTGTGATTTGTGATATTGGGCTTTATAAATAAAATTGAAAATTGAATTGAATTGTTTGCACAGAACATCTGCAATCAATGAGAGTCTTAAAGAATTCATCTCAGGACAATGTCACAGTGTGTGGGGCAAATGGCAGTGGGGGAGTATAACTACAGAAAAACTTAAATTAATAGTTGTAGATTAAAGTAAAGGCCCTGATTTAAATGAGCGAGCAGTTTCAGCAGACCTCAGGTATTCAGGGAGCTCGCTCCACAGCTGTGGACTGCAGAAACTAAAAGCTGCTCTTGTTTTGATCCTGGAAACACTGATTTAACCTGTCCCAGATCACCTGAGGGGTCTGGATGCTTTGAAGCGTACATGTAAATCAGAAATGTACTACTACTACTTTTCATGGCTGTGGCTCAGAGGTAGAGTGGGTTGTCCACTAATTGGAAGATCTGCAATTCGCTCCCTGGCTCCTCCAGTCCACATGTCAAAATATCCTTAGGCAAGATAGAAAACCCCAAATTGCTCCCGATGGCTGTTCCAATGGTGCGTGAGAGTGTCAGTGGTTACTGATTCATTTATTTTCTGTTACCACGTATCCTGCTGGGGGTCACAGGGAGCTCGAGCCTATTCCAGCTGACATTGCGTGAGAGGCAGGGTTCACCCTGGACAGGTCACCAGACTATCACAGGACTGACACATAGTGACATTCAACCATTCACACTCACATTCACACCTATTGACAATTTAGAGTCACCATTTAACCTGTTTGTCTTTGGACTGTGGGAGGAAGCTGGAGCACCTGGAGGAAACCCACGCTGACACAGGGAGAACATGTCAGAGCACCTGGAGGAAACCCACGCTGGGTGGGTGTCGGTGGCTTAGTGGTAGAGCAGGCGCCCCATGCACAAGGCTGTTGCCGCAGCAGCCCAGGTTCAAATCCAGCCTGTGGCCCTTTGCTGCATGTTGTGCCCCCCCCCCAAAATGGCCAAAAAATATCTTTAAAACTCCACACCAAGGGGCTGGATTCCTGGTTCCTGGTTGCTGTGAGGTGACAGTGCTAAGCTCTGCCCCACCCTGCCTCCCTATACATATCAACAAATTAATTATGATGTATTAGTGTGGTTAAAAATGAAATGTCATTGACCCCTGAGCACTTCTTCAACCTGATATCCAAATAAATTCCAGAAATAATAAACTGTATATTCAGACAGGGTCCATCCAGAGCTCTACTCCAGTCCAATAGCTCACCCTAGTGGTAATTTGATGTAAGTGCTAACCCATCATGAATTGCCAAAGGGTGAAGCACAAACCCAATAACATCTCCAGTAATATGATGACCAGGATATTTGACATAAAACCTGAAATAAGATTAAATAAAATATATTCTGGTAATAAAGTCCATGAGGGTTTGGACAGCATTATATTAGCTGCACAGTGTTACACATACAGGTTGATAATGCAGAGGAAATCCATGTTTGTAACCTCTTATAAAGTTAATTCTGTGTCGCTGGAGAGAGCATCCAAACACAGAGATGGTCCGGAGACATGGCTCATCTGTCAATTAGAGTATAATGGATTCATATCAGACTCAGCCATCTTGGCCAGAGCCACATAAACACTCAATGCCTATTTTTAATTTGGATACACAGCATTAGGGTTTCCTGGTAATGGATTCTTGAAAGGGAACAAAAACACTTCAAACAGTATTTCTGTAAATATATTTTACAGGAACTGAAGATACAGTAAGCAGGAACTTTCACAGATGACGTGAGGAAAGGACTAAATGAAAAACTTCTTTGTTTCAACACAAAACATAACGTTTACTTTAACAAAACACAACACACATTTTAAATCACTGTAGGTGACGGCATCAAATAAGAATGACAGCAAAGACATGTTTTAAAAAGGAAGACACAAAGGGTCGTTGAACCCGCCATGGAAAAGCACAATAAAACCCTCTGCATATTATTAACATCATGTATCTACGCTAGCTCATGATTGTCTGTGGAAAAGCAATATCAAATACAAAGTCACAATAAAAAAGACAAAAATGCAGATTGTGATATCCTGTGAAGGCCTGCACACCACGTGTACTGTGAGGGCTTATTCTTGATGGTTCTTCCTATTTATGACCAACCTTGTTTTTAGAGCATTAGATTTCGGTACAGAAACATAAATTACACTGATGGGGCTTTGAAGATTTACAAGAAACCAGTTTTACATATTAATCTCATTTATGGGGTAATAAACATCCAGGTTGTCCAGAATATATTCTGGTTATAACCGGGTAAAGAAATGTTATAAATTCAGATATAAGCTGTGCCAACTTCCACACAGGACTCACCAGTAAATACTGCTTCTTCAGGCCAGTTTAAAACAGTCATGAATCAAGGTTTGATAATAAAACACACATTGACCTGGTTCATTTACAGCAGTGGTTCCCAAACTGTGGGGTGGGGCCCTCTAGAGGGGCACAGAGGTATTGCAGGGGGCACACATTACTCATATAGTGAGAAAACAAAAGGTAAAAAACCCTTTTCACAGCAGATTATTTTGAAATGTCCGACACAGGTGCACAGGTGTATTAACTGTTCACTGAACTACTCCCTAAAACAGCTATTGTCAATCTCCTTGAAGCAACCATTATGGCATGGCTGACCTCTCCAGTTTTTGATTTTGCTGACATATTGAGGCATATGCATGGTGCATGGTGCATGTATGAGGACTACAATGAGTATTAAAGAGTTTGAAGCAGGGGAGACCAGGGTCGGTTGGCACACAGGTATTTTCTGATCCTTTAAAGGTCACAGAAGCAAAAAATGTAACATCCAAATGTTTGTTTTCTTTACCGGCACTCATGCACTGTAACTTGCCTCTCAGTGCACCACGCTCACATGTGTGTGCTTGTGCGAGACCGTGAGACATGGGCACCGCCTTCATGTGTGTTCACGTGCTTTCGCTGGTCTCGCCCAAGCGCACACACGTGAGTGCGGTGTCCAGAGAGGCAGTCAGAGCTACAGGCTACAATGAGGCTAAAAACAGAGTTCAAATGAGGTTTTTCCAAACAACTTTTTATGTCGGGGCTTCAGGACACTTGGATCACTACGGACGAGCAGTATGGAGATATTTTGTGGTTTCAATTATGTGTTTTTGGACGTTTGAATCTGGGGCGTCGTCAGCCTCCATTAGGTGGAGTTGTGTTGCTACCTCCTCTCCCCTTGGATCTCTGCAAGTGATGTGAGGACTCTAAAACTTCACCTGAGCCTCCCTCGGCATATGGGTAAGTAGATAATGGCTGAATTTTCAGTTTTGGGTGCACTATGCCTTTAACATTAGCTTGACGAGAGAACCAATGCAATGTTAACCTCTGTGTTGGCCAGCGGAAAAACATCGTCCTTGGAGAACTGTATACATGAAGGCTATTTCTTGATGTCTTTTTACCAACTGGTGAGGAGGCTGAATCTTTTAGCTAAGGACATGATACTTTAGCTGTATTGTGTATGTAGCCATCACATGTATATTTCATTTCCTTTTACAGGGTTCTTGTTTAAAATTAGTCCCCGGAGATCAATTTTATTTTTCTTGAACCAACTCACTGATTTAGCGCTAATTAGCTAGCTAACTGTAGTTGATAAATCTTCCAGTGCCAGCTAAGAAAGAGACATGTATAGCTGCAGACACATTCTGTTTGAAGAGCACACGCCACATCCCTACAAACTGCACCCATTATACCTGAAGACCTGATTCACTTAATAAGTAACAAGATGTAACCCTCACCATGACCCTTACCTTAACCTCTCTTTTACTTCATACTTCATGGATAGCTAAATGCTAGCTTAGCATTTTCTTCAGGGCTTCCAGTTTTGGATTGAGGGGTGAAGGGGTCTGATCTTGGACTGAGTGGGTGAGTCATGTAGCTGCTCCAGCCACAGCTCTACCTACTTGCCAAGAAAACCAAAAGTCATTAGCTAGGAAATACCTTGACAGACATAGCAACAGTAACTAAGACAGGCAGCGGTTTGCAGAAGAAAGGTATTCTGTCAGTTCCACCTGTGCCTTTCCTGCTATGAAAAGTCAAACTGTCTGCTGTGAAAAAAGGTCATTTGGGAACAACAAAGAAACACGAGCGCTCTGATGCTATCAAGACGATCAAGATTCAGATTAGTGATCCAGCTGTACGGAGCAGGTTCCAACACGTGAGGCACCTTCGAGATAAATAGCCTTGACAAGGAAGAAAAGAAGAATAGTTGAGGTTCATCAACCTGTCAGTCAAATCCAAAGCTTTAGGAATCTTGATCTTGAGTTCACTGTTTATATAATAGGTGAACTTTGGCCTGTTGTGCATAAATACTCCATGAAAGAAAAAGTTTGGGAACCACTGATTTACAGTAAAGATCTCCTCAACAGTAACATTTGGATTGTGATCAACAATAAATAAATAAGCATTTCGTTCTATGTTAGAATTTCTGTAAAGTGTCAAATTGAGCACCATGGTATCCTAGCAACCACCAGGATACAAAAAACAGACGTGGATTAAAAATGTCACCACGCTCCGACAGGAATGATAGCCGAGACTCTTTTATCGCTCCGTTTCCTCTCACTGCAGATATAAATTTCACCAAGCTTGACAAAAACCTGTGAACGATGGCTAACTAACGTTGAGTCTGTCCAGATATGAAATAGGAATGTCACCGTAAAGTGTAAACACAGGAGAGGAGCAGAGCCGGGAGGAGAAATTTAAACAAACATTAGTCAAACCTGCTGCGAGCGGCGAGGGGAGGCGAGTGAAAACAGCTTCAGAAGAAAGTCTGCGACAAACGTCTTTCATATCAAACAAATGTAAATCAGGGGGAACATCCAGGGAGCTGTGTGTGTGTGTATTCCACACACACACACATGTACTACACAGTATTAGCCGTTATCAATCTTGCTTTGGCTTCTTGCCGTCTGCTGAATGGTGAGGTAGAGAAATGACTGAACGGCAGACCTGCTGTTGGCTGACATATGGTCGAGATTGCATGTTGATGCCGCTTTGCTCGGCTACAGTATACGCCTTACACAGGAAACTGCCCTGAGCCTGCTAATGCACTGGAGCGTGTGTGGACGAGTGTATCTGTGTGTGTTTGAATCTATCTGAGAGAGTGTGTGCCAACGTGTCAAACAGTTAATGTGTAGGTACAGCTATATATACTGTGTCTGAGGAAGTTATGCTTCTCCGTAGGCTGAGGCCTTGTCTTTCAACAGATCCAGACACACGTGACAGCTCCAGCTCCCTGCGGACAGAGAGACGGAGAAAGGGGGTGAAATCTCTTCTCCATATATAGGCCTTTGCTTGTAGCCTCTTTTAAATATACAGCACATGACATATATATATAGTATCAGCACACTGATGTATAATAAAACCTGTGCTGTACCTTCCGGAGGCTGGGTCATCGGAGGCTTCAGGCAGTACATGTGGTATCCTCTGTCACAGTCATCACAGAACAGCAGCTGGTCCTGCATTAGCAACACACCATTGCATTCAATATATAATGTCTATAAAGCACGTACAGGGGGCAGAGAATTAAACCCTGCCTGGAAGAAGATATAAACACTGCAGTGAGTAAATCACAGTTACAAATGCTGCTATAAATGTGGCTCATATTATGTTGAGGTATTTATCAGCTATGAAAGAGGTCTGGTGGGAGCACTGGGAGCTTTCAAAGCATCATGGGAGAGCTAATGGAGCTTCAAACAGGCTAAATTTGTTGTGTCCAAAGTGCTGCTACACCTGTCAGGAAAGTGCTAAGCAACATGCAACCTTATATAACACACATAATGTTTGCTATGGTAGATATTTATTCCTTTAAATGTATTCTATGGAGGATTTTCCTAGAAAACAATACACTCATACAGAAGCATCCCTTCCAATAACATGTATGACCCACTAGAAGTGTGTATTTCATTATATTATCTGGATGTTTCTGGGCACCGTGTGCAGAGAAGGCCGGGACTTCATAAAAAGGTAGTGACCAGGTGCCAGACAGTAAGCAGCATGCATCCAAGGGGAAGCTACAGAATTCGCAGACACAGCATCAAAGCAACACAAATACAGAAAGGCTGAATGCCAAACGTGTTAAGGGTCTTTATGGGTGTGTACCCTACAGTGGTCAGGTGAGGCTGGAGCTTTGTAAAAAGGTAGTGACCAGGTGACAGACCATAAGCAGCAGGCATCTAGATCCTCGTTTCCACCAAACAGGCTGGTTCATTTTCCGTTGTAAAAAGTTGGGGATGGTACCGATAGAAGCGTTCTACTCCATTCTGTTTTTTCGGTCAACCCTTTGATGAGGTACCTAGCACGCTTATCCGATACTAAAAGCTTGAGTTAGAACACTATAGACCATTGATTGGTCAATAGAGAATCAATGGTCTTGCTCGGACTACAGTGGACTGTAATGGTGAATGGACTGCACTTGTACGGCACCTTTCTAGTCTTCCGACCGCTCAAAGCGCTTTTACACTACATGTCACACACTAAGGGCCGAGGCTACTATACAAGGTGCCACCTGCTACTCAGTAACCATTCACATGCACTCACACACTGATGGAACAGCCAGCGGGAGCAATTTGGGGTTCTGTATCTTGCCGGTGTATAAACGACCCACTCTACCTCTGAGCCGCCCCCGACTGTAGCCAGTGTTCCTAAGGTGGCAAGTTACATTGGTCATCTATTGCCACAAAATGAGTAGTCTCTATATAGAGAGAGTCTGTAGGCAAACCCCGGAGATCTTGCCTCCGGAAGAAGAGCGGAAGAGCCCTGGTTTCCGGTTGTGGGCTGTTTGTAGTCCGCGTGATATTGACCAATCACATTTGAGCCGGCTGCAGTTGTTGCCAGGTTAAACGCTCCGTGCGGTGAACTAACGAGGCGGAACATAATTGGCGTCACTGCAAACTCTGAATCCATCGCAATGGTTCAGCATATTTACTTACATGAGCAGGGGGAGGAAACAGAAGTTGGAAACGGAAATTCGCGTCCTCAAACCGGAATGCCAAAAAATTGGGGGTCTGCCCCCAGAGGCTGTATCGCCGTCTGCCGGAAGTCAGACGCCGAATACAGCCGATGGGATCCGCAAATGCAAAATGAGAGGATGTTTTGCTGCCTTTTCATCTTTACTAGTTAAAAGTTAGTGGCTATAGATGGAGAAAAATACCTGAATTCACTGTGCTGCTCAGAGGCTACTGCCGGCAGCGACTTTTAAGGTGGAATGTTTTCTTGCATTGCAACTCTGACAGTTATATTCATTTTTATTGTCTCTCTTGCATGACATTCACTTTAGAGAGATTGGATCTTCAAGCATTCAAACTGCAAATATTCTTTTTAGAGTTGTACCGATACCAGTATCAGAAATGCTTCCCATACTGCCTAAAATGCGGGATCAGCGAGTACAGCCTACGACCAATCTGATACCACGTAATGCCTCATGTCATTACGCATGCTACAGGTAAACGAAACAGAAACGGAGCAGAGTTTAAAAAGCATTCTACTGTAGCCTTTAAAATGTCTTTTTTACCAAATTGTGTGGCTGCACTGGATAATAATAATAATAATTAAAAGTTTTATGGCATTCATTCTACTATTATGTATTTATTTTAGGAGTTGAGACATACAACAATTCATATCCCATTCATTTTTATTTTACGTGCTGGTATTGGATCGGTACTCGGTATCAGCAGATACCTAAGGTTCAGGGATCGGAATCGGTATCAGGAAGGAAAAAGTGGTATCGGTTCATCTCTAATTCTATTTCCTCACTTTACTAAGAAAAGTGGTGCAACGTCTTTAATCCACACTGCACACCTGCTCTTTTTTTGTTCTGAAAGTCGAATGAAACCCCTTTCTGTGGACGATCAGCGAGGAGCAGACGTTCCTCTACAACGGAGTAATGTCTACGATGAAAACAGATCTACAGTTCAGGTTCATGTCTCAGGGTACTCTACCTAACGTGTTTGGTGGAAATGTGGCTCAAGAGACACAGTACCAAAAAAGCAGATATAGCGAGGCAAAACACCAAACGAGAGTAAATCTGGATCTGGCTTTCACTTTCATTTTCACTGGTGAGCTTGTTTACAGTAACAGATAATTCTGCACAGTAAAGTCCTTCTTGATATCTTGTAAATCAGACTGCAATGGATTTGAAATGAAATTGTGCTGCACTAATAAACATGTTTGGCCTTCCCGTTAATTTATGTTCATTTAAATGTTGTAATCCAAAAAAGCAGGAGATGTATTTTCATACATTTCTGAGCCAGTCACTGATATGAAAAAAATCCCATCAAGGGTGACTTATCACATGTAATATCTGCATGGTGAGTATGTATAGTCCATGACAGGCTGAATGCCGACTCTGAAAAGGTCACAACATCAAAAGGAAAACATGTCAGCTTTGGTGCACTTCACACAGAAATCTAGCCACACAGGATCACACAGCTCCCTCTCTCCTACAGTATACATACATCGTTCTCTGAGGTGCCACACAGGCTGCAGGACTTGCACTCTATGCACTGCCACTGGTACGTCCTCACTGCCTGCATCATGTTATCAGTGAACTGCAGACACGTGGGGTGACCTGCGGAGGAACGGTGAGGAGAGGCGAGAGGAGTGAAGAGGGAAGGAAGGAAGGAGTGACAGAGGAGTTTACAAAGCAAAGTCAGCGGTGATTTTGGATGTACTCGCCGACAGACATGCGGCAGAAGCTGTTAATTGGAGCTGACAGCAGACAAAGACTGACACACATCTGAGCATATTTACATAATCCACAAAAAGTTGATTTACATGATGTGTAGCTAAATCTGACGGCCCCAGTGCCTCCTTCAGGCTGGGTTTTTCCACTGTGCTCAGATTCTGCTGTGTTTGATTTTAACGTAACGTTGGTGCTTTTCAACATGGACCCTGCTTTACCGTGTTGCTGTGTCTAAGTGACCAATGGGAAGAACAGTTTTTGAAATTGGTTCCTTGAAAGTGCTTGTTTTGTCACTGACAGGCTCAGATTGTTATTATAAGTGTCTAGAAACATTATGGCAAGGATCCCTACAGAGATAGGCCTTTTTCTTAAAGTGTAAGATCCTCTTTTTGTAACCAGAAACATCCCTGAAATTACCAGTGCCAAACTCACCAGACTCTATTTAAATAAACAATAATTTTAGCACGTATAGAGCTGGTATATTTTCCTTTACAGCCTATGATAATTTCACATCTAAGTATGTGAGTTAAGGGTTTATTTCAAGTCACACATGAAGTGTGTTCTACGATGATAAAATTACTGTTTATTTAAATGGAGTCTGGTGGATTTTGCAAGAGCGATTTCAGGGCTGTATCTGGTTAAACAAAGAAATCTCACTCTTGAACAAAAAGGTCTATCTCTGAGGGGATCCTTTTCATACAGTTGTCAGACATTTAGAAGAATAATCTGCTCCTGTCAGTGGCAAAAACAAGCATTTTTAGGGGGCGTAAATTGATGATGTACATTACATTGCTGCAGCTCTCTCGCTCCGTACCGGACCAATTTCAAAAATTGTTCTCCCCATTATTCACTTAGACTAGTCCATACCCATTGAGTGCACAGTTTCCCCACATACAGTTTCACATGGTGTGTGTTTGGGATACAGGTCATAGGAAATTGCAGATTAAATAGTCAACTGAACCCATTAAGAAGAGCAATGTATTCAGACAGAGTGTTTGTGAATTTGATAGTACGATTGCTTTATTGAAAGTACAGTAGTACCATTGCCAATAGTGGGATAGTTAGTGGGCTAAAACTGTACATTAGTAGTTGAGGTAGCACGTTGAAAGGCAGATAGTTAAAGTGTTTACATGTTGTATTGACTTCAAAGTGGGGCGCACTGGTAGTTCACATGGGAAAGGTGCGGCTAGCCCTTGTTGCAGCAGCATACCATACCATGACTTAGTCATACCAAACATTAGAAAACAACCCCAACATTGGTCCACAGGGGGAGCCACAGCGATCGGTCGCATTTTAGCCATTTTGAAGCATTTTTCTGTTGTTATAGCGCCACCCAGTTGCCAATTAGATTTAAATTTCTCCAGTCACCTTGAGGCGTCCTGTTCTACATATCTACCAAGTTTAGTAAAAATCCATATGGCGGTTAGGCCTAGATAAGAAATGAGCTCTCTAGCGCCCCCATTTTGTTTGATGGGGTCAATAATGGAGGGGTCCCCTCAGATTATGTGTGGTCATATGCCTACAAAGTTGCGTGGTGATGGGTGAAACCCTTGAGATGTTATACACCTTTATGTGATGAGCCACGCCCTCCGCAATATTCATTGCCTTATAGAAGCTCAGTTTTAGTAAGTTTTCCAACTTTTGCCAAGAGGGAACTTTAGATATTGGTCCCTAGATTATGTTCACCCAGTTTCATGCAGATCGCTCAAACTTCCTAGGAAGAGATCCATTTGAATTGTTTTTCAAAAAATTCAAAATGGCGGAAAATCTATATATGCTGTAGTTATGGGTTCTTGAGGCAAATGTGTTCCTCATGAGGAGAGGCATCTCTGTGCAAAGTTTCATGTCTCTACTACATACGGGGCATGAGATATGCCCATTCAAAGTTTGTTATTTCATTTGGTTGCTATAGCGCCCCCCTTTGGCCAATTGATGTAATATTGCTTCATTGGCATCCTCCCATGACCCTCTACCACTGTGCCAAATTTCACATGGATTGACCAAGTCAGTGAGGAGAAACACGTGGAACACACACACACACACACACACACAGAGTTTTCGTCATTATATAGTAAGATACACGGGGAAATCGGGTCCTGGTTGAAAAACACCAAAGTTTACCTGTAATACTGTCTACTAAAAATGGTCATCTCATGTCAAAAAAAAAACAAAACAAAAAAACCCTTTTTGCTGAAGTTATTGAAAAACATTTGAAAACATTATTTTCTTCCTTCAAAAGAAGACGACTTCAAAGGAACCAGCACTAAGTGTCAACTTTGTCTGTAATTGCAGCCCATAGTGTTTCAGTCTGTACAGCTGGATGAAATGTAGCATCAAAAGCAATCTGGCCACAAAAGACGAGTGATTATATGTCTGGAAAACAAAACACAAGCTGTGATGTGTGTACAGGAAAACACAGCCGAGCAGAACTATAAATCTACAGCTGTGAAAACTCAGAACGAATATTTGGCATTTATAAAACTGTCTCCTTGTTCCCCTGTCTTATTAACAAACATTTTACAGCTACACCAACGTCTGTTAATGTCTCCCTGCAGCTTCACGGTGCTGTCAGCCTCTCATGCACACAGTAATCTGCATCACTGTGGTATCAATGGGGTATCAATGAGCCATGAATTAGCCATAATCAAGGATGAAGTGATTTATATCTGGACTGGGAAAGCAGCCAGAGACGTTCTTCAGCCTGTGACTGGTGAATAAAGACAAACATGATCTGAGTGAAATTTATAGCTCAGAGGTTTAAGCTGCTGCCTGCTTCCCAAATTAAACTGAGGATTTAGAGTCAGTGAGAAAAATAGCTGTGGCAGTTCAAAAGATCAGCCTAAATGTATGGAGGACGAAAAATTACACAATTATCATTACATTAAAAAAAATGTATAAATAAATACAGGAATAAATAAATAGAAAAAAGAAATAGATGCTGAAATAAATATGGAAATAATTTCATAAATGAATGCAAAATAAAGAAATAAAGCGTTTATTGTGTATCATTAACATACACAGAAAAACAAAAATAAATAAATGTAAAATAAATTTAAGATATTCATGTTTTATAACCTGTTTAATTTTCAACTTTTATTAGTTTATGTATCGAATTTTTTTTTTTTTTTTGCATTAAGGTATTTTTTATTTTATTCATTATTTATTTATTATCAAATTTAATCTGTTTTAACATTTATTCTTTTTTTATTTAATCATTTATTTCTGTATCTATTTCAGAAATGTATTTATTTTATTTATTTATTTTTCTTTTGTTTATGTATTTCCATATTTCCTTATTTATTTAAATATTTCCTTATTTAATAATTTAATTTATTTTTATTTTATTTTTATTTTTCTTCCGTTTATTTATTTCCATATTTATTTATGCTTTTATTTCTTATTTAATTTTTCTTTTTCTTGTGTCTCTTATTTAGTTATACAATCATTTCTGTATTTATTTAGACATTTTTTATTCTAGTATTTATTCGTTTATTTTATCGTAAGTCATCTTACATCCTCCATAAAATGGACGCCAGTTAGCAGCAGGCAGTAGAAAAGCATTTCTACCCAGCGACTACTGATAAAAGAAAAGACACAGAGGAGCAATGGAGTGCCGATTGGCTCTTACCTCTCGGCTACCTGTCCTCTTTAGCCAATGGAGTGACTCAAGAGTCCACGTGCAGCCCTCCCCCTGCCACATTAGCGGCCCTCATGTAACTTATTCCTTTTTCTCTGGTCCACGGTGTCTGTTATTTACCTTTTCGGTCCAGAGTAAATTAGGATTTGGTCGAGAAGTTTAGTCTATGATTATCTTACGCAAGTGTGAGGAGATTATTGTTGGTTTATGGAAAACGTCTTAACAGGCTGAACAGTAAAATCCATCGGAGCACGGTAAAAAAAAATTTCAATTGTATCCATCAAAGACAAAATTTCCAAGAAAAAGACGGCTTTATGTGTCTTTTGAAGGAATACACGTCCTGCATCTTCAAAAATATCAAAATAAATCTGGAGATTTTCTGGCAGAAGTGTCTTCAAGATGAAGTCCACCACTGTAGTCCAGTCTTCTACTGTGCCCTCAATAAAAACATCAGAAAATCAGTTTCATCGTCACAAGGTCCAGGTGGTCAAGAAGTCCCTTAATCAGCATCAGCATCATCATCGTCTGAAAACAAAATGTCTTCCAGCTCTGCATCTTCAAAGCCATGAAACGTGGAGGCCTCGCTGTCTGACTCGGTGCCGAACAATTCCTCTAGAGCACTCATCTTCCTCCCATCCTTCTTCACTCTTCCTCTTCCAGCTACCATGAAAACATCAGCGTCAGAGCAACACACACAAGGCCACACACTCTCTCGCAGCTGTTCTAACAAAGCCTACCGTAGCAAGAAAACATCTCACTCGTTGAAATGAATGCTCTCTTACTGCATGAGACGGTCGAGCTGACTCGAGACATGTTTTGCTGAGATATCCAGCAGAGGCGGCTTTGGCCAGTGTGGAGGGAAAAAAGGGAGAAAAGGAAACAAAAATATGCAGCCAAATGTGCCATAAGGTGATGCGTGAAAACTGAGCAACAAAAGAGAGAATGCATGTCGTCTAAAGGCAGAGGTCCTGATGGGCGAGGCTGACATGGAGAAGCATGCAGGATGGAAGCAAGCAGCGGAGCCTAGGGATCAATATTATTTTGAGGAGTTCCAGCAGTTGGCTCTCACTTCTGATGATCTACAAGGCTCATTGACAACCCACTGAAAAGACACTGTGGCAACATGGAGGCTCAAATTCACTGCACGCCATAAATGTATAATCACATCTACATCATCAGGTAAAGACACAGTTTGGTTTGAACAATGGTGACTTGGAATAACTGGACTTAAATCAACTGTGTGAACATTAATGTAAATATAATAATAGTATAGTTTATTGATGTGTGTAATTTTTATTCTAAACACCACATTGGGGAAGCACCGTTTTAGTCCATGTAACAAAGATAAACATCGCAAGGAAGCGAGGAATAGACATGAACAAGATTGTGGATAAAAAGGAAGTAAAGGGAAACAAAAATGAGATGTGTAGTAGACACAAATTAAAGTATGACACTAACTCCTAAAAATCTCAATTATTTCCCAAAGGAAGCATCTAAAATTTTGGGAAATACGCTTATTTGTTTTCCTCCTAAGAGTGAGACAAGAGGATTGATACAACTCTTATTAAATGTGAGGCTTCAATCAGGAGACGGTTAGCCTAGCTTAGCATTGAGACTGAAAGCAGGGAGAAACAGTTAGCCTGGCTCTGTCCCAAGATAACAACATAAGTCTAACAGCAAATTTAAATCTTGCTTTTTCACATGCTATATCTAGTTTGTTTATTTCGTACAAAAACCTCCCAGCGACTCCAGGGAGTCACTGCAACTGGCCGAGAAATAATCCAGTACATAACCTTCTGTAAAGACACAACTTTTACACTTCAGCTTTTGTACAGACTAAACAAACAAGATTAGCCAGCTAGCCGCGGTAACATGTGGAAACATAGTGCCTACTGCCCACCCTCCACTCTCCACTGTTTGGCTAGCCTTGGCTGCGCTGTACTGTGCACCAGCTGGGTCAGGTGGGAGTTAGCGAGCGACACCAGTCATTAGGTGATTTATCAGTAGTAATACTGTCCTCACCCAAAAGCGTTGCTGTGTAAACACTTTGCCCACCCTCCAGTCAGTTAAGTGGCTTAACTTTAAACCGCAACCCCCCCTTAGCATTATTAACTTCACTGTAAGCTCTGTTAGCACCATTGGCAGTGTCAGCACAGCTAGTGGTGCTAGCATGGTTAACAACGCTAAAGGGGTTTCGCAGCTCAAAATGAAGCCAGGGCCTCCTGGGGGGACAGCAGAGGTGGCCACCATAGCAATGTCATCCCGCTAACGGGACAGCGTTACTAGCGGTAATCACGTATGAGTGGTGCCGCTAGTTGGCTCCCACTCAACCCTGCTGCTGTTCAGTGCAGAGCTGCCAATGCTATTAGCTAACCAGTGGAGACCAGAGGGTGGGCAGTGGACACTATGTTTCATGTTAACGCGGCTAGCTGGTTGTCCGTTAGCAAGGTCATTAGAAAATAAAATAAAAGGCATGTGGGGGGAGACCAGAGGGGGGCTACTGTATTTCCATACCAACACTGTCCCGGTGGCGGGACGTCATTACCAGCGGTAGTTGCAGAATAAGCAGCGCTGCTAGCTAGCTCCCACCCTGTTGGAAGGGTGGCTGCTATTTTTCTGAAGCAACCATGGGTTGGGACAGCATTACCGGCAATTATCACCAAATGAGTGGCGCTGTTAGCTAGCTCCTGCCCGGCTGGTGTGCAGTGCAGAGCAGCTAGCTAACCAATGGAGACCTGAGGGTGGGCACTACGTTTCTGCACGTTAACTCGGCAAGCTGGCTGTCTGTCAACAAAGCCAACAGAAAATAAAATAAAAGGCAACACAATTACATAACCAAACATTTAAATTTTAAGACCTCTCAATGGAAAGCTTTTGAAATGTGGCACTAAAGTTCGTTCATAAAGTCAATGGAGTGACCAAGTAAAAGAAAAGGCCTCTTGTGTTTCACGTCATTTTACTTTTTTTTTTTTTTTTTAAATAACCAGTTAGTTACGGATTAAAGGGTGTTGGGCTAACAAAAGCAAAATTAACCAAAATTAACATCCATAAATAAGATACAACGTGCTATTAAGTGAGTTGCTCAAGTGTTGTCAGGCAGATTTTGTTACCTTTGGACAGGCCAGCTGAGCTAAGCTAAGGTAAGCGTCTCCTGGCCCTAGCTTCCGGAAGGAAAGCGAATAAGCGTATTTCCCAAAATTTCATACTATTACTCTTTATAAAAATGGTATTATTAAGAGGAGTTTTCTTGCTGTCCTAATGAAATCACTGTTCGTTAAAATCCATTAACACTACTTGTGTTCTACATCTAAAGCTGACGTCAACAAAGAACCTGAAGCTTTGACGGAAACCCTCCATGCTGTGGAGATTTGGGACTCACCGGATCGTCCACAGTCAGAGCAGGACACCAGCTCCTCGGCCTGGCCTGTCTTCCTGTTGGAGTCCTGGTCTCCCAGGCAGAAGTCACAGTAGTCGTTGGGGATGATGGTGCCATCCGCAGCCTTCTGAGCTGTCGGCAGGAACACACACATGTAAGCTGAAGGACACATGAGCTGCCATTCATTTTCCAACAGCTTGAGGCCATCTACGTTATCATAAACTGTGATTTGGGAAGCTGTGTGAGTGTGTGCATTGGGGGGTTTCTGTCCCCAGCTAGCACTTACTGAAACTCTTTGTTGTCTATGTAATTACATTCTAGGCAGCAGCTTACGTTTGTGGTTGTCTGAGCTGTGTGGAGGAGACGGAGGCATCTCTGTATCCTTCTCCTCCTCGCCCTCCTCCTCTGCCAGGTGAGTGTGGGTGTAGTGGTAGCTCAGGCCAGGCCGGTTCTTGTAGCGCTTTCCACAGACTACAGATAAAACATCACAGGTCCATCAGTAACTCGTAAAAACCTTGTGCTGTAGAGCAGTGGACAAAGAGTCTGCTCAAAATCATCTGTCATCACTGCCTTAACAGATTTTATGAAAGGTGTCGGAGACAATTTGCAGGAACTTCAAACTGCTGTTGACTATAGCAACCTTAACACCAAGTGCATTTTGGGATGTAACCATTAGACAGTGTTACTGAGAGGCCATATTACTCTCGCTGAGACAGTAAGAAAGAAGTTTTATCTGTTACGTATTTTATGCCAAGAAAATGTTTTTATAGTTTTAATAACTTCAAATATGGCTAACTTAAAGGGTAACTCTGGTATTTATGTTTAACCTGGACTCTATTTTCTTATGTTTTTGTGTGTAAGTGACTAATGGGAACAACAAAGTTTTAAATTGTCCCAATATTGAGCTAGACCACTGCAGCTGGCAGCCATTATACCACTCAGGGCATATGCGAACCTTCAGTTTATGTCAACTAAAAGTGTTTATTTTTGCCACCGACAGGCTCTGATTATGATTTCATGAGCTGGACATCATTATGGTAAGGATCCCTACAGAGATAGACCTTTTGTTGAAGAGTAAGATCCTTTTTATTTAACCAGAAACAACCCCAAAATCGTTGTGGCCAAACCCACCGGACTCCATTCAAATATATTGTAATTTTAGCATGTATAGATCCAGCATATTTTCACACCTAACTGAGTGAATTAAGGGTTTATTTAACCAAACCAGAGTTGGTGATTGTTGGAACAGTGGAAAGACAAACCAAGATGGTTTTTATGAGTTTAATATTGTCTGTGTAGACTTTGAACAGACTCATCCTCCCCTCCATCAAGTCTGCCATCCCTGGTGACCTTGACCAACATTAGTTTGCATACCGAACCATTCTCGGAACCCATCAGCTGTATTCGGCGTCTGACTTCCGGCAGACGGCGATACAGCCTCTGGGGGCAGACCCCCGATTTTTTGGCATTCCGGTTTGAGGAGGTGAATTTCCGTTTCCGACTTCTGTTTATAAAATAGTAAATATGCTGAACCATTGTGATGGATTCAGAGTTTGCAGTGACGCCAATTATGTTCCGCCTCGTTAGTTCACCGCACGAAGCGTTTAACCTGGCAACAACTGCAGCCGGCTCAAACGTGATTGGTCAATATCACGTGGACTACAAACAGCCTACAACCAGAAACCAGGGCTCTTCCGCTCTTCTTCCGGAGGCAAGATCTCCGGGGTTTGCCTACAGACTCTACATTCACTGAATGTAGAGTCTGTATATAGAGACTACACTGAACTAATAGGTCGACAGAGGATGCTGTCATGATAGCGCTCCACACAGCCCTCACTCACCTGGACCAGAGCAACACCAATGTGCTGTTTGTGGATTTCAGCTCTGCATTCAACCCAGTCATCCCCCAAAACTGGTCCTGAATCTGAGCAACCTGGGCTGAGGCAGTTCACTGTGCGCATTGATACTGGACTTCCTCAGGAACAGACCTCAGCAGTCAGGATGGGAGATCGCACTTCCTCCACACTCTTCCTGAACACCGGAACACCACAGGGGTGTGTCGTCAGCCCCCTCCTCTTCTCCCTCTTCACCCATGACACCATCGTCAAGTTCGCTGACGACACCACCATTGTAGGACTGATTAGGAACAACAATGAGTCAGCCTACAGGGAGGAGGTCGAACGCCTGACAGACTGGTGCCTCCATAACAACCCGGACCTCAACACAGCCAAAACCAAGGAAATTATTGTGGACCACCCTCTCCATCAAAGGAGAGGAAGTTGAGAGGGTGGAGAGCTTTAAATTCCTTGGTCTCCACATTTCAGCCAACCTCACCTGGTCTGTCCACACCTCCTATCAGGTGAGAAAGGCCCACCAGTGACTTTACTTCCTCAGGAAGTTAAAGCAGGCCCACCTCCCAGGCCCACTGCTGGTTAACTTCTACAGGGCCTCCATCGAGTCCATCCTGACCTACTGCTGCACAGTGTGGTTCACCAGCTGCACTGCAGAGGACAGGAAGGACCTACAGCAGGTGGTGAGGACCGCAGAGAAGATCATCGGGACCACACTGCCCCCCCTCAAAGACACTTACACTGGCCGACTTCTCAGGAAGGCCAGAAACATCAGCACAGACCCCACTCATCCCGGACATTCCCTATTCTCCCCCCTCCCCTCTGGAAAGAGATACTGCTTTCTTAAAGCCAGAACAACCAGACTCATTAACAGCTTCTTCCCCCAGGCCGTCAAAGCCATCAACTCCCCCACCCCACCCAAAGACTGACACTGGAACCACACTAAACTATTGAACTATTGAGTGCAATACCCCCCTCTGCACTCAGGATTTCAGGTAAATAGGCTATGATACGGTGCTTGTTAAGGTTCCTTCGCAAACCTCAGATGCAACCTGCCACCATGCTCTTGAAAGCTGGCATAGAGGAGCGCCTGACCTCACGTTTTCCAGGCGGTTAAAGAACCGTTAACTTCCATCTGTGTCACCAGTGATGAGGAAATACAGCGAGTGCTGGACGGAGCAGTGAGTGACAACAGCCCTGCCCACATTTAAGAGGACTGTTTGCAGTGGAAAGGCTAGGGTCTAGGTACCATGTCTGAAGGGTTACTGTTGGTTCCAAAGGTACCATACTGAAAGTGTTTGGTGGAAACGGGACTTTAGAGGATGTACAATGACTGTGCTCAAAAGCCCAGAGTGGTTACATGGCAGCCTGTGTCGCTGCTACTGGCTGCAGCCTCTTTGCTTAGTACTGTACCACTTTCAAAGACTGTTGTTACCATTAGTCACTTAGACACAAAAACATGGAAAAGATAAGGTCCTGGTTGAAAAATACCGAAGTTACCCTTTAAGGCGGAACAACAGGCAGGACAGACAGTTGAAATGAAAAATACACAGGTCGTAAAACAACTAATCGATATGGAGACATGGCATGAGATGTTTTAAAGGTTCACCTTCAACTGTTCCTAAGTACAGATTATTTAGAGACACTTTTTATTCTAATGTTGCTGTTCTGTGAAGCCTTGTAGGTCACAAATCTAACATATAAAAACAGGATTGGTTTGGGAGCATTTTATGTGCTAATAATAAAAAAAAACAGGATCTATCGTGTAATACTGCCGCATCTCTGGGTCACTGAGAACTTGATGAGCACATTAGAGTTGTAGCCATCATAGAAGCTTCTTATTATACTGTATATTTCTGCTGCTTTCCTTCCCACGCCCCAATACAGCTGTTATTTCTGTTCAGACTTTACAAATTTGCATATTATACCACAAAGCTGCAAAGCTTCGCCAATCCAATCCCACAATTTAAAACATACCCATATAAAACATGTGAAGAGATTCCACCCAGTGCAAACACTTCTACAATGGCTACATCTGCGGATCACATCACAGCTAGTGCGGCTTTAAGAAAACATGCATCCCTCGGTGCGACATTAGTGGAGCTGCTGCTGCTTAAGCATCATTTGGTGCATGCCTTGCAATGAGCAAGCATTAAAGCACGCGGCGTAGCGTTAGTGTCATGCAGTGCTTGCACTGAACTCAGGAACCTGGACTAGCATACAGCATTTAAAGCGTTAGATATGTCCAAGGGATTAGCAATCAGTCAGCCATTCCCACACACACACAAAAAAAAAAAGAGGCGAATCATAAAGACAGTTCACGGCAGCCCCTAGAAAAAGAAGATGGCGACAGGTTCAGATACCTTCTTCAGCCTTTTTTGAGTTATGCTTTTGTTTGTATCTATCTGGAACAGAGAAGACACAAAGCAAACGATAAAGGAAAGACAGCACAAGACACAAAATGAGGATGAGATTCATCTGTTTGAGGCCCAGTCAACGAGGCTATCCCTGTCCACATCCGCATCCATTCCTGTCCAAGTACGCAAGTGGCATGCTAGTCAGGTCTGGATTAACAACAAACTCTTCTTCATGCTGCAGAGGACAGCTCTTAGAGCAGAAGGAGAGGCGGGCTGTCACTGTAAGACGAGAGAGAATGACTCTTCTGCTGGATTCATCAGGTGTCTAAACACATAATCTAACAATCTGGAACAAGCATATAGAGTGCGGTTTCCTGACAAACATCTTAAAGGGATTAACTTTTGTATTAGCCAAATTCGATGAGTGGAGACTTTCTTCACTTCCTTGAGCTTTAGGAAACACTGTGGTTCTGAACTTAGGTAAACTAGCATGTAAAAAAACCCATTAAAGACACCGATCACATGATGTAGAAAGAATGCAGCTTTCTTTTCCCTTACTGTCACAGACGTATGGTTTGTCCTGGTCGTCCATGTTAACAGGCTCTGTCCTCCTACGACTGGATCCTCTGTTCTGAAGCACAACAAACATTTGATATTTCAAAATCCATGTATCAACGTTTCTACACAAATGCTCATTTCAATCATTTGGTATGAAACAAAGCCCTTAAAGGTCCCATTATACACCCATTTTCAGGGTCATACTTGTATTTTGAGTGCCTGCTCGAACATGTTGACACGTTTTAATGTCTAAAAACACTTAACTTTCCTCATACTGTCTCTCTGAATATACATGTATTCACCCACGCTCCGTTTTAGCGCCTGTCTCTTTAAGCCACTACTCTCAAAAAAGCCCAGTCTGCTCTGATTGGTCAGTGTTTCCAGGTCTTCAACGCCTGCGCTTTTGCCGTCTCTGTGCTGTCACTGCAGCCAGAGGAATGACTGTAATGGCACTACAGTGGAACTTTTATCTTTATAAAGTACAGTTGTGACATCACAACTTCACGAAAGTCCTGACAGCTTGTTAAAAGGCGCAGTTACAGAATATGGACTGTGTGCATTTCTCTAATGATTGAGCGTTTGGATACATACACAGTATTTAAGAGCACCTTTACCTACTTTATAATTAAAAAACATGGAAATCTGACTTTTCATAATATGGGACCTTTAAGATGTGGCACAAGTTTCACATAATCCGACATACTTCTGCTTCAATGGAAAGAAGATGCTGTAGGAATAAAATATAATTACATTTAATAGATTTTGCATTGATGAAACTGTGTTACTTTTCGCTTTTACACCACACACACAAACATGTGTGTGCCTCTGTGTCTCCATCTGTGACACTCACTTTGCCTCTGTTTCTGTTCTTTCTCTTTGGAGTATCCAGGTCAAAGTCTTCGTCATCATTGAGACCGTCCCCATTTTCCTCCGCCTCCAGAACTCTCTGCAGAGCACAAACACACATACACACATACAGACAGACAGGCAGACAGACAGACAGACAGGCAGACATACAGACAGACAGACAGACAGACAGACAGACAGCAGGAGGGTTCGGTAAAAGTAAGAAAAACTGTATGAAGAAGTTCAGGAGTAAAACAAGGAGACAGACAACTGTACTGTTCATAATGAACACATCATTAAATACCTGTATTTCCAGCAACGTCTCCTCTTCTTTACAGATACTGTTTTTTTTCTCCACCAGGTTGTCCCCCCTCAGGAGGGCCTCCAAGGCTGTGGCCTCGCCAGGGGGAGCCTCGCGCTTAGGGGCCAGCTCGGCTTCTGTGGAGGCAAGGAGAAGGAAAAAAGCATTTGAGATGGCAGGTGTTCTTCCTTAATTCATTTATAAAACTCTTTTGATAGTTAATCATCCATCCTTTCCGGGGCCGGGTTGTGGGGGCAGCAGGCTGAGCAAAGCACCCCAGACGTCCCTCTCCCCAGCAACACTTTCCAGCTCCTCCTGGAGGACCCCGAGGTGTTCCCAGGCCAGATGAGATATATAATCCCTCCAGTGTGTTCTGGGTCTGCCCCGGGGCCTCCTACCAGTGGGACGTGGCTGGAACACCTCTAACAGGAGGCGCCCAGGAGGATCCTGATCAGACACCTGAACCACCTCAACTTGACACCAAGTAGGAGCAGCTCTACTCCGAGCTCCCTCCGGATGTCTGAGCTCCTCACCCTATCTCTAAGGCTGAGCCCAGACACCCCATGGAGGAAACTCATTTCAGCCGCTTGTATCTGCGATCACATTCTTTCGGTCACTACCCAGAGCTCATGACCATGCGACCAGTAAACTGAAAGCTTCTGTCTTCTCAGCTCCCTCCTCATCTTGATGGTCCTGCACAGCACCCACATCACTGCAGACGCCGCACCAAACTGCCGATCCATCTCACGCTCCATTCCACCCTTGCTTGTGAACAACACCCCTAGATACTTGAACTCCCTCACTTGAGGCAGTAACTCTGATGTATGATCAAAATGGTCAGAGTATTTAGAAAACACTTAAAAAGCTTCTTGAACGCCAATTGACCAAAGCAGATAAAAAGTATCAGTATCACAGCGGACACTGTGTAAGTGTTCCCTCTGCTGCTCTGTATATGATGTGAAGGGAGTGTTAGTGACAGTGGCACCAGGTGCACAGTTAGAGAGGAGGAAATAATGAACCAAACTAAAAAACACTGCTCATGGGCCTGAATTATATCTCTAGTGCCTTTCTCTCTGTCTTTTCTTTTGTTTTTGCTTCTCCTTTATCTTTTATCTTTCCTCCTCTCCCTCTTTTCATTTCCGTGGAGATGAACTGGCTGCAGCATTTACTCTCTGTCCTCGTCTTTGAACTCTAACACCGGGATGAAAACAGAATGAAAGTAGGGATGTGATAAGAAAGGCAGTGGGCTGTGAGATGTTCTTACTGAATACAGAGCTGCTGTACCTCTGGGTCTCCTCCTTTCCCTCCTCCTCTCATTTCTTTGTCTGTTTGTGTGGGTTGACTTGCTGGCACTGACAAGACATTTCCTCCCTCTCCACAGTCCCTAAACCTGGCCGACCCCAACCCCTCCCCAAACTATGCCTCCTCCTTCACCTCTGTTCTCTGCTGACAAACTCTCTCCTCCTCTACACCAAATCCCTCCTTCCTTTGCTTACCTCTCCCCCATTTTCTTTACCCATACCCATCCTTCTTCCCCTTTATAACCTCCTCACCCTCCCCCCTTTTACTCTCCAGGTTAAACATGGTGGGGTGAATGTGATGCTGAATGTTCCGGCAAAAAGCAAAGAAAACTCAGTTACTGTTTGTCAACATCGCCAGAAAAAGTGAAAGTAAAAGACAACCCCAGATTCACTCTCCTAAGCTATATTTGTGGGGGGGTTTTCCGACGCTGCGTCCACGATTTTTGTAGCTTCCTCTTGGATGAGTGCTGCTAACAATCTGGCACCTAGTTGCCACCTTTTTATAAAGTCCAGGATCAGATCCCCAGCCCCAAGGTTTGCCGACTGTGCTAGTTTTCAACCAGCTCTGCCGTGGCAGTGTGGGCAGGGTGCACAGATGAATGGTGTTTGGTGGGGATGCACGATAATATCGGCACGTCATCGGTATCAGCTAATATCGGCTTTAAAATAAACTATGAGAACCGGCCAACATGCTTTTTCTTAATGTGCACAATGAATGAATATTACATACATTGAAAAGCATTGTATTTAACGTCTCCATCTGCTGGTGGGCCGTCATGATAAGAGTAGGAATGAATAATATGATGTTAATTCCACTCCAGACGAGACTTGATGATCACTACAGTTAGGTAGGGAAATAAGTGGATATATCAGCATCAGTTATCAGCCAAATGAGTTGTTATGTATCTGCAAAAAATCCAATCTCGTGCATCCCTAGTGTTGGGCTTTCCCCAGTGCCACCATGGTGCCACCAGCTCTCAACTGGGATGACAGAGCTGGTTGAAGATCAGTTTCACTTTAACGGCTGTAGCGACTCAATTTCAGTTTGTAAAAACAGCTAAGCACAGGCGAGATGTACACATGTAAACAAGATGCAAAGATGCATAAAGGAGGCAGAGAGGTATCAAACCCACGTCCTGGTGTTGTTCAAAGCCACTGATAATCTCAAGCTGTGCTGTGCTTGCATACCACAGGAGGCTGACAGCCAATCTTTGAGCCTGACGACTGGCAGCCCGTTTTCATCATATGGAAGTAAGAGTGCTTCTGTCTAAAATGGCTCGAAAATGGATCCAGAATTTTACATCAGGATTAAACTTTATGGAAGTGCTAAACGTATTCACTGGAGTGACCCTGTAATATAAACTGGCCAATGCCGGGGCACCCAGTGGCTCAGTGGGTGTCCCACGTACATAGGCAATGTCCTTGCCACAGCGGCCATGGGTCATCCCCTTTCTCTCTCCCCTTTTCACACTCAGCACTGTCCTATCAATTAAAGGCAAAAGCACCCAAAATAATTAAGTGTAGAAAGTTTCTTTTTACCAGACAATGAGTTTTTAAGGAGATGTAGTTTACCTTGACATGTTTCGATCATCACTGCAGTCTTCTTCAGAAGCGTCTTCTTCAGAAGCGTCTTCTTCAGAAGTGTCATCTGACGTGCGTCACGACGTGTCTTTATCAGCTGGTAGTATCCTGGAGGCGTGACCAGCCTGGCAATCTGACAGATTTGCCAGGCTGGTCACGCCCCCCTGCCGCCCGGTGTTCTTTGGAGGACAGAGTCCCAGGTGTGCGACAGCATGAAAGCCCCCTCATCCTGGTTGATGGTGTCCCTGGCCCGCCTCCTGATCTCTATGGCCTCCTTGATCCAACGTTTGAACTTTTTGCTTTACGATCCGTTGACTTTTGCGTTGTCCCAGTCCATGACATGATTATTTCTTTTGCAGTGATCTGATATGGCTGATTTTAGGTTCACCTGCTCTGCTTGTTCTTTTTGTGATCTTGTGAGACATCCTGTCGTTTCCTTTTCGCATTCTTTTTTCTTCCTGTTTCTCCTATGTATGTTTTGTCACATGTTATGCATGGGATTTCGTGTATTACGTTGCATTTTTTGTCCGTATTTATCCTGTCTTTTGGGTGAACTAAAAGCTGGCAGAGTTTTGTGTGAGGTTTTACTACTGCGTTTATTTTGTGTTTTTTCATTGTCCTCTGTATGCGCTCGCAGACCAGCCTGGCAAATCTGTCAGATTGCCAGGTTGGTCACGCCTCCAGGATACTACCAGCTGACACGTCATGACGCACATCAGATGACGCTTCTGAAGAAGACGCTTCTGAAGAAGACTGAAGTGACAGTCGAAACATGTCAAGGTAAACTACATCTCCTTAAAAACTCATTGTCTGGTAAAAAGACACTTAACACTTAATTATTGTGAGTAGACAAAATGAACCTAATTACACCACCCAAAATAATCTTTAAAAACTAGCCACTGCCACAGAGTAAGGTTAAGAGACATGAACTAAGAAAAACACACAAAAAATTACTATAAAAGAAGTGGATTCAAAGTGCTTGCTTGTTGCTTTTTGTTAATCTTAAAATTCATTTTGAGTATCACAAAAATATCTCGCTCTTATTCTTTTTACTTTCGCCTTTTAAATCAGATTAAATAGGGAGTTTATACTGATGGAAGCAAAATGGCTGCTGAGGCACGGCCACAAGTTGAGCAGTGACATGAAGAAAAAGCCGAGGATCTACTGTACAAAACAATTCTGGTTTAAAACTATTTCAAAGCAACCTTGTGACTGTGTATCCTCACACACACACACACACACACACAGACACACACACACACACACACACATGCACAGACAAACCTCTCTGCTCAGGAAGCATTAAATAAACATAAAGCGTTTCCAAAAGCCTGAAAGGGGAGCACTCACATTCCTCTGTCGTGTTATGATAGATATCTGGGCCAAACTGCAGAAATGGATCTCTGAAAAACTAAACTGGAGACTTCTACTCTTTCTTTCACCCTACAAAGGCTTTTTCCTGCTCTTGTTAACTACAACACATCGCTAGTTCTCTTTCCCTTTAGTTAGTCGCTTCGGGGGAGTTTCTTCTCTCTTTCTTTTCCATGAAAATGACTCTTATGCTTAAAGCTGGAGTATTGGAGTATTATATTGCGTCTGGAAGACAGCGAGGGGGAAACAATAGTGTGGCAAAGCCGAAACAAAGACTCGCCTTTATTTCTCCCCCCTTATCAGGTTCCTGAGGCATTCCTTTCCTAAAATCCCCCATAACACACACACACATATGCATGCACATAAAAAATGCACACACTTCCACCTCATAAGACTCACTTACATTCTAATGCCTCATGGACAAATGATTATAGAGGCCCAGCTAGGGTGCTTCTGTGCTGCAATACAGAGCGAGAGTCATGTGTGGGGGTGTTTGTGCGCTTATGTATGTGTGTGTGTGTGTGTGTGTGTGTGTGTGTGTGTACTGCCAGAGAACAGTGAGAGGAGGCATTGATTCAGGGAAGAGAATGAACCTGGAGACCTGGCGAGAGAGACGGGGCTAACCAGAGCCAGATGGTCAGATAGCGAACATTAACGCCACTGAGCACGCCTAAGCTCTCTGCGCAGAGGGCACAACATACATGTGCATTTAGGTGACGGTGGCGCAAGTGCAAAAAGGAGCGGATGCACCGGTTTCAGCAGCTTTCATTGTGTAACTGTGGGTCAATACTGCTGCAGCCATCACTGTGCAATGAATGTCAATGTGCAGTGTGTGTATGTGCTGTTTGTCTTACCTAGTCTGAGCTCACACAGGCGGAGCTGGGGATCCAGAGGAGGGTGGAGTCGCCTCTTCTTCCTCCAGCAACGAGCAGGGTAGGTATACATCTGTCCTGCTGCTTGGCCTGCACACACACACATACACATATTCATATATGTATAGGCGAACACGCATGCAGAGACACAGGCACACAGGAAGAATTTTAACAACCACTGGCAGGCTTACAACTTTAACAGAACTTGCATTGAGACCCCTACACACACAAAAACACACACAGAAATACACACAGTGGACTGGTTTTGTTTTCCTGACACTTAATATGTCCCGCTCTCAGTGCTCAGACTAATGGTCCACATATTCAGAAAACTCCTGCTCTTATAGCCAGGTTCCAGAAACTCTTATAAAACTTGGAATTTTGGGAACTTTGTCAGACCTATCAGAAATGTGACTTCACGTTGAGGATGGTTTTGCTCCAAAAAGCAATTTAAATACTTTTGCTTTGACACCAAGCAGACGTCTTGTGCCTAAAATATTTTGGTTATCTGTGTCTAATCATATTCCACCATTAGCTTGGTAGAGGACAGAGATGGAGGGAAGTAAGCGTGTTTTTTTCTGTCAATATGAGCAGAGAAAAAAAAAGAGAAGGAGGGGGCGGAGGGATAAACCCAGAATAAATGCATATAATGTGAGTTAGGTCTGCCACAAAGTATAGGGTGTGGCCTGAAGGGCTTTGCATATAAGATGGAGGACAGGCTATTTGTGTCCAGCTCTCTGTAAAAAGCAGATTGTTCCCTTTGGTTGTTCAGGCGACACAGATGTGCACTTTGACTGCATGTCTCAGGATAAATCATCAAGTGTTAACTGTAGGAAGGGGTGACTCACTTTTATTGAGGGAGGAGATTGATAAATTAAATCTTTCTTATGCATTTCAGCATTTCTGTTAGATGAGGAGATTGACACCACTCTTTGTGCACTCAATATACAGCCAGCAGCTAGTTAGCCTAGCTTATCTTAGCATATGGACTGAAAATGGAGAAACAGCTGTCTATAAAATCTGTCTACCAGCCGCTCTAAAGCTCACTAATTATCATGTCAGATTTCATGGTGTCTATATTGGCTGCCTGGTAATGATGGTTTCCAAGACTCCAGGAAATCACTAGGAATAGTCCGGCACATAACCTCCGGGGCTGAAAAATAAAGCAAATGCCTAAGTGCCAAAACTGCAGTTCCTCAAATGGCCACTTGAGGCTGGCTCCAAGAGCAAGTAAATTCCCACAGACCCCCATGTAAAAGTGTCCAACTTTACAGCAGAAATAAAAGGCTTAAAGGTATGCGTAATTAAGGGCGTGGTCACTTTGAGTGACAGGTGGTAACAAGTTGTTACCACAGCGACAGCGTTGGTTAGTTAACGTAACCATGGCGTAACCCCAGGTTAACAGAGCGTAGTGTAGCCATAGCTGCCACTATTTCCGTGTGTTTTAAGTAGGGGTGAGCGATATGGCCCTAAAATAATATCACAATATTTCAGGGTAATTTTCCCAACATGACAAATTAGTAAAAGAACATTTTATTATTAATCAAGAACATAGATGTGCAACAAAATAAGTGATATAGTTTTACATGTCAACAATTTGCCTTCTAATATTCAGTTAAAAAATTAACAAAAACTATCTCTCATTTCTTTCTCTCAGTTTTTTGTCTAGCTGCGGGCGTCACGTAGGTTTACATTACCAAAGGTTTAAGGCAAAATAACTTGACAACACCGACTCCCGTGTGCGCACAGCGAGAGAGGAGAGGGAGAGACGCTGTGCTGCTGCCAGAGGAGCCACTGAATGAGTTCCCTCTGAGCAGTAAGTCTCTAAAAGAGTCTGAGAAGTCCGGGGCTGTTCATAAGACATTCACAGTTTATTCCACACTACTGAAGCTGCTCCTCTGTTTGGAACCACCGCAGAGTTGGTATTAATTTCTCTTTCAGCCATGCTTGTTGTTGCCGTGGGTAACAGTATTCCATCACATGTCAACAAGTCGAAATATTGTGATTATCAAGATATGAATTTTTCATACCATATTAAAAATGATATCTGTATTATCGTGAACATTATGATATGGCACAGCCCTAGTTTTAAGTTTGTGAAAGTCACTTGTCCCACAGACAGAGAACGGACCTGAAGCACTTTGGTGGACACAGCCCCTTATGGTTACCTCCACCCTCTTCTCCAAATTTAGTTACTTCTGGCCTCAAAAATCCAAGATGGCGACAGTCAAACCGCCAAACACAAGGCTTTTAAACAAGGGTCCACAAACTAATGGGTTGCATTACGGTGGCTACGTCCATTATTTTGTACAGTCTATGGTTTGACAGTACAGTTTAGTTTTTGTACAATTAAACAAAAAGATTTTTTAAACTCTGGACGCAGCCAGGCTAGCTGTTTGCCACTGTTTCCAGTCTTTATGCTAAGCTAAGCTAACCAGCTACTCCTGTAACTCTGAGCAAGAAAGTGACAAGCATATGTCCCAGAATATCACACTATTCCTTAAATGAAGCAGGAATGGTAACAAAAACCAGATCTACAGTATTCAGAACATAAATATTTACATATATATTAAAGCCATATGAGTGTTCAGTGGATCAGACTGTTTCCCACCTGGCTGACGGTGGCACTTTTCCATCCAGATGTAGCAGTTGTTCTGCGCCACACCCGTTTGCGAGTCCAGGAAGGGCATGCGCACGCTGCGTTCGGCACAGAGACGGGCATTGTAGCTGCGACAGTGTTCGATAGCCTCCTTGTAGAACTGGTCACCGAGCCTGAGCACAGACAGACAACATGGCAGGTAAACAGTCAGACAGACAGACAAGAAGAAGCAGGCTCAGGTTGACCACAAGTAACATTCTGGTCCCATTTCCGCCATTGATCTCAGCTATTTGCAGCATGCGGCTTCGATTTCTGCTTTCTGTGCGCTGAGTCACCCCTGCTCTTAAAGTCCTATCAGCTAAACACTAACAGTTTTGATGGTTAATGGCAATAACATGTGCTGGGCGGCTGAAGATTTGGTATGGTCTGCAAATCAAGTACAAGTGGGCCTGTTCAGTCCTGGTTAACTTTAGCTTAATATAACACGCCCAGACTTCTCTCTGCATTTTGGCTCAGTGTATTGCGCAAAGTCTGGATTTGCTGCATAAAGCAGACGAAGCATGAAGACAGCCGAGCTGAAGGAGCATCCATACAGGCCGAGCACAATGAGAGCTGTGAGGGCACACACACACACACACACACACTTATGCAGGGAAACGATAATGAACTATACGAATAAGAAGAAATGTTTCATCCTGTCAAAATGACGGATAAGACAGAGGGCCGGATCGAAGTTCACACAACACATTACACATGCACGCACACACTATCGACCCACATGAGGTTTTAAATCAGGATGTGAGCCATCAATAACCTCCACAGCCCCAGTCTAGAGGGAAGATTTCTGCAGCTAAGATGTTCAGAGACAGACAGAAAAAAACAAGATTAACTCAGTTTTGCCAAAAATAAAATATCCACCTCAAGTAGGTTATTCTTTATTTAATCACATAGCTGAAATCCAGAGGGGGAGATAGAGGAAATATAGCTCTAATGGGGTCTTAGCCAGCAGGGGAACACATGGCTCAGCTCCAGAGGTGAATGAGTCAACAGTCTTTGGGCACAGTTTGCTGTATATGATTTCCAGACCTCGTCCTATGCTAATAACGAGTCAGTGAATTTAAAGTTGAAAATGTTAAAAAGAAAAAGAAGAAGAAATGTCACTAGTATCCTTTGGAGATCCCCTAAGCAGCAGCAGGATGCTGTCTGTCTCTCTGTTTATGTGCATACATGTCTGTCTGCCTGCCTGTCACCCTGTCTGTCTGCCTGGCCAAGCGCAGATATGTAAAGAATTCGGAGCTGGACAAAGACCAGCACACTGGTCGCACTGAATCTCACAAAGATGTGCAGTGTTTGGAGGTGGAGGGAGGCAGAGGGTGGACGGAGGAGGAAGAGGATGGGGGATGGAGGGATGGAGGGAGAAGGGTGAGAGGTTGGAGCGAGTAGCAGCAGTGAGTGAGCCAGGTAGTGCATGTACTGATGGAGGAGAAAGGGGGAGGGTTCAGAGGAGGAGACAGGTATGGAGAAGGGACTTGATTTGTGGTTAATGAAGCTCTGTACCAGTGGTTCCCAACTGGTGGGTTGTTGTAAAATGTACAGTGCTGCGCCTTTTACCAGCAACGTTACAAAACATAAACAGTCACCACCCACCCCCTAAAATGTATAAATACCCCCTATGTGAAGCATTTAGTAGGGCTTTTCCTTTGGCACCTCTGGTGTCAAATCTAGCCGTGCAAATTTGCGTTCCCATCGTCAGTTTTAACGTGTTGAATTGCGCAGAGCTGCACCTGAGATCAACTGTCTCTGGAGTCTGGCCAAAAGTGTGCCAGATCACCTCCAAGAGGGAAGCACTGACGTCTTGCCAACCACAGCCAGACCCTGACGGATACCCCTTATCCCCCTTTACTTTCTAAAACAAGCCTCTGTTGTGACCCTCGACTGCTGTTTGCGCAGGAGACCAGAGAGAAGCACGTTTTTAAAAGTCTCTTTGTGTTCAGCTCATAGTATTTTTATAGCTTCTCAATGAATCTTTGTGGTTTGGAATTTAGTTTCTCTCCTGTGTCCCAATTTATACTTTCAGATATCTACTTTATTTACTTTATTTTACTGTCATGGGTTTCCTCCAGGTGCTCCGACATGTTCTCCCCATGTCAGTGTGGGTTTCCTCCAGGTGCTCCAGCTTCCTCCCACAGTCCAAAGACATGCAGGTTAATTGGTGACTCTAGATTGTCCGTAGGTGTGAATGTGAGTGTGAATGGTTGTCTGTCTCTATGTGTCAGCCCTGTGATAGTCTGGTGACCTGTCCAGGGTGAACCCTGCCTCTCACCCAGTGTCAGCTGGGATAGGCTCCAGCCCGACCATTTATCAGGATAAGCGGTTATGGAAAATGACTGAATGAATCTTGGTTTTAACCAGTATATAAGTTGTGTTAAAGGGATAGTGCACCCAAAAATGAAAATTCAGCCATTATCTACTCACCCATATGCCGAGGGAGGCTCAGGTGAAGTTTTAGAGTCCTCACATCTCTTGCGGAGATCGGCGGGGGGAGCTGCTAGCACACCTAATGGTAGACGGCGCCCCAGACTAACGTCCAAGAACACAAAATTGAATCCACAAAATATCTCCATACTGCTCATCTGTAGTGATCCAAGTGTGCTGAAGCCCCGACATAAAAAGTTGTTTGGAAAAACATTTGAACTCTGTTTTTAGCCTCACTGTAGCCTGTAGCTCTGACTGCTTCTCTGTGCTCCACACTCACATGTGCGCACTTGCACGAGACCAGCGAAAGCATGAGCTTTGCTTACCCGTGTTTACATTACGTGACACGTGCACCGCAGGGAGAGACAACAGTAACCACATATCCGAGACAAACACCATTGTCTGCCTGAACTACGGTAGAAATTAATGACTTACTCCTCTGAAAGCCTGCCATCTGGCCTCTGCCTTTTCTTCCAGTTGATCTTGGGGAAGTAAAATGTCTCCAGAACACCACGGGTCAGTAGTGCTGGAAACTCAGGGTGATCGGTGATGCACGGTCTCTGAAGAGCAGCAGTCTCGTCAGTACTGATGTCCAGATTCTCAAGTGCAGGCATCGCCAATTCCCAGTCTGAGCAGCAAAGACTTTCCTCATCCGTTGGCATTGCTTTGCATTTGAAACAACTACACCACCAGGTTTCCAGTGCTCGACTCCGGTATTCTGCGGCTGGCTGAGGGTTAGGCTCATGAGCTGCGGCGGCTGCTTCGTCCAGTAGCCTGAGTTCCGTCCGTGTACTCGGGCTCAAACAAATACGGAAATGCTGTTCCTCCTCAGTTTCAAAGTCTTCAGACATGTTGGGCTGTCCTTTGCTAAAAGACCGTAGTGCAAATTATCTTTTAGCTCTGTGGTTACTGCTGTCTCCCCCTGCGGTGCACGTGTCACGTGATGTAAACACAGGTGAGCAAAGCTCATGCTTTCGCTGGTCTCGCGCAGGCACGCACACGTGAGCGCGGAGCACAGAGAAGCAGTCAGAGCTACAGGCTACAGTGAGGCTAAAAACAGAGTTCATATGACAACTTTTTATGTTGGGGCTGCAGCACACTTGGATCACTACAGATGAGCAGTATGGAGATATTTTGTGGATTCAATTTTGTGTTCTTGGACGTTAGTCTGGACCATTAGGTGTGCTAGCCGCTCCCCCCGCCGATCTCTGCAAGGGATGTGAGGATTCTAAAACTTCACCAGAGCCTCCCTCGGCATATGGGTGAGTAGATAATGGCTGAATTTTCATTTTTGGGTGCACTATCCCTTTAAGTTACTGCTGATGATAAAACACTGCAAAATGACGGGAGATCTTTGGCCATGGATCAGCCTGCTACTATTAAATGTCATCGACATTATCACTAGACACACCTTCAAGTGGGTAGCCCTGTTTTAATGTAGATGTAAATCCCTGCCACACTGGGCTGACGTGCTGAGTCAAACCACGTCAAGCCAAGCCAGCAAGTGTATGGAAAAACGGCATAAGTGGAGAATTCCCCCCCTTGTGAAAAATTTCTTTCATTTAAGAGAGATGTTTGCACATCCAGCTGTCTCAGATGCAGGTGCGTTAGGAAATATCATCTGAGTCTTTGAACAGAAAATCCCGCACACTGCTTTTGCTCAACTTCACAGTTTATAAGTAACACTAACATTTCGGTCAGACTGGACCTTCGTCATCACTCGACGAAGGTCCAGTCCGACCGAAATGTTAGTGTTACTTATAAATGAATTTCAGGCACTGCAGCACCAACAGTGCTAACCGTGGCCAAAGTGCTGACAGAGCTGACTGGAGGATGGGCACTACCCTTCCACGATGAAACCATCCCATTATCACCAGTAACCACTGTTTGTTTGTTTTTTAAATTATCTTTTTATTATGTTTAAAGTCAACATATACAGAGTGCTATACTTTGTACACTTTTTTAACCACTGAAACAGTACAAATTGGACAAACAGAAAAAGAAAGTAAGAGAATTAAAAATAGAGGTAAAGTAAAATAAATAAATAAATAAAGGGGGGTGTGTAGCATAGAAAAAACATGGGGGTTACATTACAAATGATGTTCCATTATAACCTGAAGTCTGATCTATGTAGGCTAATGAAATCAATCCATCCATTCCAGCATTTTTCAAATTGATCCATCTTGAGTCTTAGAGCTAATGTTAGTTTTAGTTTTAATTTAAATTTTCCCAGTCCTCTAGTGATAGTACAAAGTTTCCTTTGTTTTCCCATCTTTCTTTAGTAACCACTGTTTAAGTGCAGTGCAGAGATGATGAGCTAGCCTGTGGGATACACACACTGGAATCACATACACTAACATGCATGCACAGCTGTAACGTTGTACCACAACAATGAACAGAGAAGCTTGGACTACTTACTCCTCAGAACGCCATTACTCTGCTCTATCTTCACGTAGCAAATAGTGGTTTGCTGCTACATTAATGCTCTGAATACGTATATATAGCTCCATGAAAAAAGGAAATGAAAGTATGAGTAAAAAGAGGGGAAACAGGAACATTGGACAAATTTGACATATGGCACAGCACAGCTACCTTGGTACACCTTGCATACTGTCTATTTCCAGGAAGTCATTGCTACCAGTAAACAGATAGTCCAGCATGTAACACCCCACAAACTGTTGTTTTCACAGCACCACAG